CTCGAGAACGGCTGGATCGATTTGGCTAGTTTTGGTTTTTATATATTCGTGCCAGTCCAGGGAAGGTTTAAACGATAAGAAATTATGGAAAAATTGCATGGAAAATCCAAATAGTACCTGTACAAACTGTACCTGTCAACCTGTCAATCGATTCTTGAACGCGTTCCGATTCCACGAGAAATAATTTATATGGCAAAACAACGTTTGCCGAGTCAGCTAGTAAATTATAAAGTTATATAAATTAAAATCACTTATGGCTTACATATAACTTACTCTGTCTTATTAAAAGCTTGATAACAAATTATCGTCTGAGAAATATTTGACCAATGGTTGTACTCAAGACGATAAAGATGAATAATGAATCTGGATGCTCAATTAAAAAAATATGCTCATTTAGTTTTAGCTGTAGTCATCACTCGAATTTCATGAGCCAAACAATTCCCTTTAATGGCAGTACGGAGATTATTTCGAGAATTGTCATTAATCATCGAACGAATGCTGTTCGCCTGTGGACCGAACGCATCCTGATGGTTTATATTAATCATTCGTAATGACTCAGCCGAGTTTACGGAAAGCCCATCTGTGTTGCGGACTTAAACGACCGCAAGATACCGTACAAAGGAAATCTAAAGTTTAAATCAGACAAGTCCACGCGCATTTAAATCGTATGGGGTGATCAAAGAAACGTATATAAACCTACACCAAAGCCACCACACCAGATGTCGCCCTACACCAAACAGAAATCATCATCCTCCTGCTCTTATCCCACCTATGGTCGACAAAACATATGACTCATGTTGTATGTGGTTTTCGCTAGGTCTTTACGATCGATACAAAATCGGAACAGTTCTACGGTTCACACAAACCAACTCGTGCCTTCCACATAGCAAATAAGATGTCGCAACCACAAAGAGATCACTGACTCATTCGAGACAAATCTTAATAACCGAAATTTCTCATGGCTAAACGAATTCACGCGATTTAATTTTCATTAACAATCTTTTTTTATGTGAGATAATGGTAAACGCCGAAAATGAACACTTGAAACACCTGTAAGGTCGCAAATGCGTTGCCGCCTGTTGATAAAGTTGGCCCCGGCTACTTCACTCACCAGAAGCAACGCAGAACTGTAACACTTCTACTTTACGCCGGTCTTCTGTGAGGTCGCGGTCTTACCCTGACAGACCTGCCCATTATTGCAACAGTGAACACTGTTGCGTCCACCCTACCTGCATTATATCTGCACTAATGACTTAAAACTGTCGGAAAATTTTCGTAGCAGGGGCGATACATTTTGCGGCATCTTTATCTACGCATTTTTTGAATTCAGCTGACTTCGTCATCGAATCGAATGACCACTGTTATTGCGGGCCAAAGTTTTAGTCATCCATAAACTACCGGTAAGGGACTTAATGAGCTTTGTCAAGAGGCTTGTCAGTAGCAGCACCAATGAAATTATTAATTTTGAGTGCTGACTTGTTACGTGCTCAGCGGTGAAGGAAAACGTCGGAAATAATAACAAAAAAATATATTGAAGATATGTGAAGTCCGCCAATCCGCAGTGGGGTAGCGGGATGGACTATGCCCGAGACCCTCAGAGGAGGCCTATCAGTGGGACATAAGTCTGTAAACGTGTACAATTGCTATTGTATGCTTTGTCACATGAAGGGCTTGTTTAGTGAAAAATCAAGGTATGAAATGCTAAAGCATTAGATGCACGTATCATTAGATCACGACTTGCCAAGTCAAACACCGATCAACGCTGTCAATCATTTCGCATGGTCGTGTCATTAACGTCACGCGTACGTAGATGAACGCTTCATGCATATTTTTTTTTTTCTAATTAAAAGTGACAAAGGATTGTGCGAACATTCTTCAGATATTATTAAATTGCATGTCAAACCTTTGGGATATGATTGAAAGTTTTTGTTCATATGCGATTATTAACAATTTCATCATGTATATTACGCATAACTAGTTCTTTATTTCTTAAAAGTTAATTGAAACTGTAATAGTTATGACCGGCATAGGCATTGATAAATTATTCTCTACATAGTATAAAACAAAGTCGTCCCGCTGTCTGTCTCTCCCTATGTATGCTTAGATCTTTAAAACTACGCAACGTATCTTGATGCAGTTTTTTTTTACTAGATAGAGTGATTCAAGATGAAGGTTTATATGTTTAATATATTGCACCCGTGCGAAGCCGAGGCGGTTCGCTAGTTATTACATAAAAGAATAACATTATGAAGATATTGTGAACAAAGAAACAGAATTAAATTAAAATAATAGAATAAAAATAAGGTTCTTTGAACTTAAATAAGGTCATTTATATAATTGGATGCTTCTTTGGCCTTTTCAATTTATAAATGTCTCTTGTAATCGTTTTAAGGTTAAGGTATAAAATTTTTATTAATTATAAATGTTAACAAAATTAAAAAAAAATGTATAAGAAATCTGTGACAGCTTTTCCTTTGTTTTATTCCTAAGGTTTATTTTGTGTCGACTTTAACGTGTTCTCATCATCTGTTTTTTCGTTTTTCATCGCTTATCGTTCGGACTCGGAGCAGCACTGGAAATATTTGAAGGTCTGTAGCATACACGGATGTTGATTTTTGTTGTTTTGTCCACTATGCCCCGTCGCTATAGATTTATTAACCACCATTCATCTATATCACGCTATATTTACGACGCCCGCTTAATACAAAAATTGTTGATTGAAAACGATTTTGATGGATTTTATCGAGTTTAATTTAAATTAACGATTCATCCTTATTCAACATTGCTGAATAATGGTGGAGATGGAAGTTTAGATTTTAATTAATCACGATGTAATCCATACAAATAATTTTATATAACAATATGTTGTGTTCGTGTAAATGAACGTAGTATATATATATATATAAATGTGACGAAAAGATTAAATAAAGTCTTTTCTTTAATAAACTTCTTATATGAATTAAATGTATTATAAATCAAAACTTGCCGTTTATTAGATATAAATTTCTTGTGCATAAAATCTTAGCGTTAAAAAAATAGCGTCATAATTGTTAATGTTATTACTTATTTGTCTTTTTGTTTGTTAGTGGCATTTTATAAACTTATCAGTTTATTAGTACATTAAAGTTTTATTAATTTATAAATTCATCCATTCTACCTATTATTTATAGTAGTTTTAAATGTTTGTATAGTATATGTCGCGACGTGTATATTTGTTTAGTTTACCATATGTTCCTTGTATGTAAGTAGTGTATGTAATACGTATAGGAGTGTATTAGTTCATGTTCATTATGTTTCGTATGTAGAATCGGTGTAAGTAGGCTTAGTGGAGTTTGTTGACAATAATGATACTCAACCAGGTGTTTACGCATTTCACGCTGCTCGGACAGACGTACACGCGGCTCCACGTGTGCGAGATCGTCAATAACCAACCCTGTTGTCCACCTCAACAAGTAAGTTGGCGTGCGGCCGCCGCAGACTGCGCCAAAGATGACTCCCGTGACGTCATTTCGCTTTAGCCGATGTTTTTGCCTTCACTCCATAGACTATAAGAGCTTCACCGAGCACAGAATAGCCAGATACCACGAGCTTGAGCCCTTCCCGTATGTGCTCGTGCGTGCGTTATCTATGAGGGAAGTCACTTCGGCATCCTATGACATCTGTCGCATTATGGTATATTGGTGTTGAGTTATCGGTAAACTCAACTGCTTCTGCCGTTTCACAAATGAATTACCACGCCCTCAGCACCGGCGTAAAGTGAATGTATTTCTACTTCAGCCTTTGTTTGGCGAGTGAGGTAAATGGGGCCCGCCCTGTTGAATGTCAGCAACGCAACTGCCACCCGTTGGATGTTGTACCATCAGTTGTATTCACTCGCTATTGGGTGAACCGCCTGATCGTTTGCAAATCTATGGTGTTTTTATGTAAGAAGGATGGCAATTGAGATGACGGTTCACCTGATTAAGTGATGAGCCCCGCCCATGGACATTTGAATCACCACAGGGTTATACAAATACGTTGCCAATAATAAAGTAGGAGCCGTTTACCTCATTTATCAAACGAAATGCAAAGGTATACTTCCATTTTATGCCTGTCTTCTGTGAGGTCCTGGTACTTCCCCGGGTAGACCAGCCCATTCGTACAATAGAAGGCTGCTTCGTGGCCCTACCACAAATTAAATGATTAAAGAAAAATGTTAATCGCTGAAACATGTCATCTTTGGTTTGCAAGATTGTACGTAACTTAAAACGCTTCAGTGAGATGCTATCTACGTAATGTTTTGCTTTGTGATCATCGTTTTATATCATTTTGATTTCAATTAATAATGTAGTTGTTAAACTCGTTTTTTTTTTTCTTTCTGTCACAAGGCTTCACATATTATTGGTGATATACTTCAAGAAAATATGTAACGTAATAAACTTAATGAAATAAGTGCAGTAAATCAGAATAATTAAATTAAGACTTGTCTATACTTTTGATTTTCGGTTTTGGGGGCTTTTGACTCTGCTGACGGTCCTTAACGTATGGAATTTGTGATCAAGTTTTGTTTGATGTTTAATAACGTAAAAAATGTCTCTAATTGTGTTATTAAATTTCACGTTTGTTAAAGGAGCAAAATATTAAGTAGATATTAATTTTCTCACTGTATAGCACGCACTTAGTATCGATGCATTTTGTTTTTGTTTTTTTTTTTCTTCGTTAAGTGTAATGCACTTTTTTCCCCAACTGATCCTTTTTTTAGGTTGTCTGTGTTGTAGTGTGTTTTGATTTCAATCCTTTTGTTACCGTTGTGTTATCTTTCTTCTCACCTAATGCATTTCCATAACCGTTAGACTGTAATAAAAATTATGTCGATTTAGTGTTTACTAATAAATTAGTTGTAGTTTTGAGGTGTGAAAATGTTATTTAATGACTCTTTTTATTACTTACATTGCACGTTGAGTGTGTTTGCTTCGGTTTTATGTGTTTCTTTGGGTGTTTAATCACACGCATGCTTTCAGGTCAATCGTCATGTGAATGATCTGTTTGAAGACCTGCGCGATGGACTCAATCTCATCTCGCTGCTGGAGGTGCTTTCTGGCGAACACCTCGTAAGTACTGTTTCTTTTCTCTATGATCATCAATCAGAGCCGTGATAGCTCAGTGTGTCCTCTATCATCATCAATCAGGGCCGTGATAGCTCAGTGACCGGGTGCATAAAATTAAAGTAACAAATAATAAAGACTCTTAAGACTTTTGCCTAAGTAACCCTATTCGTAAACTTGGTTAATTGAAAACTTAAGCCGGTCACCGAAAATGTAATAGTCGTATAAGAAATCGCGATAGCTCAATGTCCGGACGCTCGCCTTTAATTCAATATATTCGAGCAACCTGAGTTCGGTGTCCCAATGAGATTGTTAACTTTAAGGGCTGTATTATCAGCGGTAAAGGAAAACATCTTGGGAAAACCTGCATATTTTTGAAATATTTCGAAGATATGTGAAGTCCGCCAATCCGCAGTGGCATATCCTCTGTACAAAGGGGGCCTTTGCCTAGCAGTGGGACATGTATAGGCTGATACATTACTTTTTATGATCATTAATAACTTGTGTGTTCTCCATTTAAGTAGTAATTATGAAGACTTTTAAGACCTTTGCCTAAGTCACTCTACTCTGTTAATTAAAAACTTTAGTCTTTCAACGAAAATCTGATAAGTATGGCGAACAGTATGTTTCGTGCAATTGAATCAACATCGCAATTAACGATCCCTGCGACTTCAATTAACAAGTCGACGTATCATCAACTGTACCGTTAGTAAAAACATTCACCGTTCTTAATCGTTCGCGTTACGTATCACGCTCGGATATCGTTTTCCCGGTGCGTCGAAGGCATATCTGGGTTGGCTAGAGTAACTGCATCATCACGTGACTGCGCGACGTCAGCGCAGCGGTCCCTGATATTGGGACTGATTAGATCTGGCTCAGAAGTATCACAACTTTTTTTTTCTTTTTGTTTTACGCGAAAATTCATCAAGCGAGGCGTTAACCTGGTGTTTAGCGATTACCATCCCCATGGATATCTACGGTTTGAGGATTTCCAGATGCGTCGACCTGACAATTCAGTTACCTGATAATTCCGCCCGGGGATGGTGTTTGCGCAAATTTATCTAAATCAACACGGAATATATTTTAATGATATTGATTTTTACCGATTACTAAAAAATCTTTTTTCTTCGTTACTAAAACGTACTTCGACCGCGTATTTCTTTAGAAATGTAAAAGTCACACACAATGTCTGCATATAAATATAAGGGCGAACAGTTATACTTATAAAATATTATCTTTATACTCGCCTCCTTGTATTATGAGCTCGATCACAATAATTGCGTTATTACGTTATGAGTGGAAGAATCAAGCACTTCAAAGTCCCGATCCAAGAGCCACGATAAGCGCAGTCGTAAAAATACACTCTTCATTTGGGACTCGTTTAAAAAGCCGTACTCTCTTTTACTAAATAACGTTGTAATTATTGTCAATAAAATTTTTATAACTATATCATTGGACTAAGAATGTGCATCCTGCGTTTGTAAACCAAATGTCAATATTAGATTACGAAAATACAGCACACGATTAAGACAATCGATAAAGTTTTGTGCGCTAAAGCGTTTAAACAAACAACTAAAATTGAAGTCCACGCCATAATGGCGACGACCCGAATGGCGTAGTGGGTAGTGTACCTGCCTCCTGCGCCAGAGGGTGTGGGTTCGATCCCCACTACTGGAATAATATTATGTGATGAACATATACGTGTTTATATATGTATAATATGTATTTATTTACAAAAGAAAAGTATGTTTAAGTATGTTTATCAGTTATCTAGTACCCATAGTACAAGCGTTGCTTAGTTTGGGACTAGAGAACGTTGTGTAAAAATGTGTCCTAAAATATTTATATTTATATAATAGATTAGATACATTGGAATAATGGAAGGTTGACAGGAAGGTTAGTACGGTTGCCAAGCTATTGGCACTGTGTTGCTGTGTTGCAGATTCTCACGGGAAAAGTTCAGTTCTGAAGCCAGATGCCTGTCTCTTTACGATTCGTTAATTAAATACTAACTTAAACAAGACTATGTTACAGTGCAGTAGTAGTACTGGTTAAAAACAAATGAACCCGAACAAACGTATAAAACAATAAAGAATATTGGGTTAGTCAAAAATTATCGCGTTATTGTTTGAACTACACTTCAACATATTTTTTCCCATAATGTTGGATAACATTATCCTGTTTTGCAAGGACGTTTAACAAACACAAATTTAACATGGACAAACACACATATCCGAAACGAGTATTTGTAGGTCAAACAAATAGGTGTCCTGTGTGGAAATCGAACCCATGAACCACGGCGCTAAAGCCTACATACCTCGGGAACTGCGCCACGATGTCATTAAATAATATTCTTTTCTTCAAACAGATTATTTTAGCTACAGGCTATCGGTGAAAAGTTAATGCCGTCGTGTTGCAATAGTAATGTTCAGCAGATAAATAAAAGCAATGGTTGTTTGACTAAAATTTAAATATTTCACCGTTCGATTCGTTAAAACCGTTAAGTTGTTCTAATAGATCGTCTTCGATGTTATACCATCTAGCGGCTGGGTGCGCTCGCGGAAGCGGATATGTCCGCGTCGGAAGCGCCACCCTTGTGTTCCCGCCATTAGGGGCAGATGGGGTAGCCCTTCCCTACTTAAAAAAATTGGGGTCATTTATGGCCGATAAAGGCAACTTACAACTAATTATATCCAAAATCGTGTCAATGTACGATAACGCGAGCTTATAAAAATGAACAAGACGAGACATGTATATGTATATCAAAAATAAATAAAAGTTGTGAATAAAAATCTGATACGAATGTCGAACAGTATTTTTTGTGAAAGTAACCTCAATTTCGTATGTTCCTCACTGGCACCTAAACCTGCGACGTCAAGTAACAAGTCGATGTGTATCATCAATCGTTATCGCCTTATATTAGTAAGAACTTAGAAATTGCGTTCAAAAAGAGTTATTTTATCTAAAATATTATATATATCGTAACTTAAACTACCAGCAACGGAAGATTGGAATTTAATAAAACTGAGGTCGCAATGATATTTAGACGGCTTAGAAAGTTGGACGTAGGAAAAAAAACTCTAATACAAATTTACATATTGCGTGGTTATAGTGATGATTTGCTTTGATTGTAATCTTGATAATTCACTTTTTAAATCTGCAAAGGGACGGCCATACTCGTATATATAGATCGTAGAACCGATAATCGATAGGACGGGAAGGTTCTTCAGTTGCAGCCTCGTATTGGCCGTCTGTTGGGGAGGCCTATGTTCAACAGTGGACGCAACTACGCTGAAATGATAAAAAATTAACTTTCTAATCTACCAAAGTTGTCCTTGAATTGAGTAATCCATTATATGTATATTATTGGGTGACCCGGTGGCGCAGCTGCTACGCTGTTTCGGCTCGGCTTTCGCGGGTTCGATCCCACGCAGGACAAGCAGTTGTGAATACACAGAAATTTTTTGACACTGGTCAGGCGGCCGGAGAAAACCTAGCCAATTCGAGTAATGACATGCCAACACACTTTTTCCTGATCGCACCTAGGAGAAGTGAGAAGGCTTAAACGAAATAAAAAATGATATTTTGCATGCAATGGCCAAGCCTAAAACTAAATGGTCATTAACATCATTGCCTAACTATGTAGACATTGAGTTGGGCTTTAGATAAATCATAGCGAACAATAATATATCATCGTTTTGTAACAGATCCATAGAGAGATCAAGAACTGTATGCAAAGTTCAGTTCCATTAGCGCACGGGATTGTGAATATATTGTCTTTTTCTTGTTTATGAGTCATCTCATGGACAATATCCACAAGGGTTATTTAATATCATTCTATATCTGCATTATGGTAGTATCATTATGATTGTTATGAATGTCCTTTAGAAACAACATATTTAGAAGAATAATGATCCAACTTTTATGATGTAAGCTAAAATGCCATCCTTTTTGAATGTATACTTTATGAAAAAATTATGAGATTGAAATTTTAAGATGCAACACAAAAGTAACACTTTTGAATCTGCTGCATATTCTCAATCACATTCGCTCATCCCAGTTATCAATAGAGAATGTAGATGACCTTTTTTTTAGTTTTATTTCTAATTCATGCGCCCTGTTTAAAAGATCCACGTTTGTAATAGGGAATCCTCGATACAATTTCACCCCAATCCACGATTGGACTTTCCGTTTCCGCATATTGGCCATATTCTTCATTACAATGAAGCGGTTTGGCTTAGTTTCTAACACTGAGATTATGCTGTGTAGCACTTTACGATCCTTTGTCTTTCCATTCGATTAAAACGTGGGCGTCTTCAAGGCAAGAGTGCACGTCTATTTCTCGTTAGTCTGAACGCAGAGCGAGGAACATTATTTTTATTATTTTTATGTGATAGATAGGTGCCAAACGAGCAGACGGTTCACCTGATGTTAAGTGAATACCGCCGCCCATGGACATCTGCTACACCCGAGGGTTCCAGATGCGTTGACAACCAGACTCACCAGTCAAAACGCGAAGTATTTGTCATACGCTGGTCTTCTGTGAGGTCGTGGTACTTATCCGGACGGGCCTGCCCATTCGTGCAACAGCCGAGGTTGCTGCGTGGCCCTACCACCGTAAAAGTGTGAGGCAAATTTCAACAATATACAAGTGCCTCAACTAATAGTTACATCTAACAATGTTTGTTTTAAGTGTAAACAAAACAAAACATTATAATTAAATAACATTGATCCGCCTTTCGTCCATTTCACAAACGCTACTTACTCTACGTCTTACTTTTGAACGTCGCCTTCTTTTAATTTATGTTTTTTTTTGTTCGAGTCTAATGTACAGCGTAATAAAAGCATATATGTTTATTTTCTATAGCTTCATATTTTAGTTCAATTATTCTGTAGTGTTTCCTATAGTTTTTTATTCTAGTATATTTACTGTGCAGCGTTATGGGATAGTATTCGAGTGGTGAGATTCTACGAGTTGCGATTAAAGGAACCCTAATGGCGTACAACGACAAGGTTTTCCTTATTCAATATCTTTCATCCAATAGTCACTGTTCTGACTTTGCTAGTATCGACAATATTAACGTCTTGGAAATGAAAAAAATAACGAAATATGATTACACCAGTTATCTGATCTATCTCATTCTTCTTAATTTATATTCTAAATAAAATACTCCAAATCAAATAAATCAAATATACTGACATCTGACCTACCACAGATCTGCCACTTAGCTTCCAATGACCTGCCGTTATTAATGCTGGTCATTTGAAAGCATCGTTTATCATACTTTTATTATGTGAACTAAATTTTGACAATGCTTCGTTTTGATTTAGCTCATCCTTAATAAATTACTCGCACGCCCTCGCCGTTAGTCATGATGACTTTCATACTTTAATAGCGTGATAAACGCCTTTTAAAACCGCTATGTTCCGATTTAATTTCGACTACCAGATTGGTTAGGATGTGGGTTGGGTACCACTACGGGAAAATATTTCGTGGTGAACATAGTGTTTTTCCAGCGTGGTGTTTATGTATATGATATGTATTTAATTACAAAAAAGTATGTTCATGTATGTTTATCAGTTATCTAGTACCCATAGTACAAGATTTGCTCACTTCAGTACACACCTGAACAAAAACTTTATATTTTTATACTTTATGTAACTTATAATAGCAAAGTTTCACTTGTTTATACGTCAAAGGAAAATGCCGAAAGGTTTTAAAAATGCTATGTAGAGTTTAAGAAAATGTGTATGTTTTTATCGACTAGGTCGAGGAAGACAGATATGGGGTACTGTGCAATTTTCACTGAACTTATTACATCTTTAAACTTTTATAAGTAGTCAGTGGTTTCCAATTATCTTTAATTCATTAACTCATTTGGTACTCTACTTCAGAACTTCTCTGTCTGTTCCAGAATGCCATTTCTTGGCTCATAATTAGTATCCTCATTACTTTAATAAAACAACCTTCATCATCATCATCATCATTTCAGCCTGTTTGAGTCCACTGCTGAACATAGGCCTCCCCCATAGACTGTCATGAAGTACGATCCTGAGCCACCTGCATCCATCGACTTCCCGCACATTTGCACAGGTCGTCACTCCATCTAGTGGGGGGTCGTCCTACACTGCGATGGCCAGTACGAGGCTGCCACTCGAGAACCTTCTTCCCCAACGGTTATCGGTTCTACGAGCTATATGGCCGGCCCATCGCCACTTCAGCTTGCTAATCCTCCGAGCTATGTCGGTCACCTTGGTTCTACTGCGGATGTCTTCGTTACGAACTCTATCACGCAGAGAAATAGCCCGCTCCATAGCTCTCTGAGCGACTTTGAGCTTCCTCATACGGCCAGCAGTGAAGGACCACGTCTCGGTTCCGTAGGTCATCACTGGCAACACACATTGATTGAAGACTTTAGTCTTCAAACATTGAGGTATATTCGACGAGAAGATTTGCCGAAGTTTCCCGAACGCTAAAACAACCTTAGTTACTAGTGATGTTTTGATTTTAATATATTTGTTAGATTTAAATTATATTAATTTTTATATACTATTCTCTGTACTTAAGATAAAATTTGAAATTTGTAGAAAAATAGGCAAGTTTTTCGCCGCTACGAGGATTTGAATATGTGACCTGCATTATTTTATTTCATTGTAAAATTTTATATAAAAAAGCGGTCGTTTGGTGTAAAGAAAACACACTAGATGACTTTGAGGTTATCGTCGGTGTGAAGATATGCCTTTTAGCTCAGTAGCTACAGCGTCCGACGCGAATTGGGAAGGTGCCGATTAAAATACTCTCAATGGCGAAAAGCTTTTTGTTAATTTTTCTACAAATCTTATGTTTTGCTAGGTTATTTAACTAGATACCGGCAAGCGTTTCCTTGCAAAATTATTTCCATCATCAAAATTCCATCATAATCAGTGTACTCAAAAGGCACTTGTGTATATCGTAGAATCATAACATCTGCTGTTTCTAATGGGAGATAGCAATGGAAGAAAACTCGTGCGATTAATGACCACCACTTCATAGAATAACTATCTCCAGTATTTATTTATATTAGTAGAAAGTGCAGGGTCAGTATTGCCAGTTTCATTTACCGCTCACATAGATAACTTACGTTTCTAACTTTATGAATACCCTTGAATCAAGATAAAATAGAAAACATATCTACATATGCGTGTGTGTGTTTATCTCTTTTATTTTTCTCAGGGTAAATCCTGGCCTTTTTTGAAACTTATCGTATCTTATCCTTTAAACGAGCAATTCTTGTGTATATATATATGTATATATATATATATATATATATATATATATACAAGAATTATATATAATCGGAATCTCGGAAACGGCTCCAGCGATTTTCATGAAATTTAGTATGTGCGTAGATTCGGGGGTGAAAAATCGATCTAGCTAGGTTTAATTTTTAGAAAATGTCCTTTTATCCCTTTTTTCGGGGAATGAAAAATATAATTCCAATATGACGGTAAATTTCGCCGCAAGAGAAAATGTCATAATAGCTCGGTCGGTAATCGGGCGGCCCCAAAACAGACGGCCGTGGTTCGCGTCACGATCATTTACACATTTATTGTTTAACTTTTTTTTCGATTCCAGATCATTGCTTTCTTAATTTTTAATTTTTTGTCGATTTGTTACTTTGTTATTTTTTTTCCCATTTTTTTAAAGTTCTTTTGTGAAAAACATCAGTTCATATTTTCTTATTATTACGTCGGTAAGATCGAAAAACATTATGCATATTTCATTACTCAGTAATTTGTATCTAAATGTAATTTCCAAAATACACGATTTACCAAAAAAAAAACAAACCGAGCAAAGCTTGGTTCTCCGGGTACTATTTATTTAATAGAGTAATAAACGATTGATAAAGTGAGGCTCTTACAAATTTATAAGAATGTGTAACTTAATTCTTTATCGCACAGGGTACTAATTTAATAATGAATCTATTTTTATGGAATTAATGGTTCTATTTTTAACCCAACATCAATTACACTTGATAACGGAGATCACACAAGTATATTATAAAATATAATACATAAGCCATGATACATAATATCACAAAAATTAGCTTTGCTATACTTTATTTTGACAAACAACAAAAGTAAACTAAAAGGAAATGTCCAAGTTTAATTTAGGTCGATGGAAACCGGCTGTAGTCAATTGGTAAAGGTTTCTTCACCCAACTTATTAATTTACGACCGGCCGCCTGCCTGACGTCGACCCTCCTTGGGAAACAAACACCCAGATCCGGAAAAATTATATATCGGTCACCCAAATACTTGTGCCTTGTTGGAATTGAACACACCACCCCCGACGCCGAAGCCAATAGCCACATTTCAATAAAGTGGGCCCCGGCTACGGCACTTGCCAAAACGCAGAACTGTGACACTGCCACTTCAAGCCGGTCTTCTGTGGTAGTGTTACTTACCCGGACCTGCCCATTCGTGCAACAGAAAGCTGTTGCGTTGCCCTACCACGGTAAACTACATACAGAAAAAATGCAGGACTGTGACGCTGCCACTTCAAGCCGGTCTTCTGTGGTAGTGTTACTTACCCGGACCTGCGATTCCCACACGGGACAACTATTTGTGTGACCCACAGATAGCTGTTTCGCTTCTGGGTGTTTGCCCGCGTGAAGCTTGCGAATGTAAAACGTCCTTACAACACAGGATAGTTGGTATTTTAAAATAAGGGCAATGTTAAAAAAAAACGATAACTATAAAACGATAGTGATTTGAGGCCACGGCTAGAACACAGTTGTTCATGATGTCCTTTCTAATCCTTCCAGCCGCGCGAGCGAGGCCGCATGCGCTTCCACATGCTGCAGAATGTCCAGATGGCGCTGGACTTCCTGCGCTACAAGAAGATCAAGCTGGTGAACATCAGGGCGGAGGACATAGTCGATGGCAACCCAAAGCTGACCCTTGGACTCATCTGGACAATTATCCTGCACTTCCAGGTCAGTGAGCACGCTTTTATACGCCTCCAGTTGAATGTTGGACAACTAGAATTTATCAAGCATCACAGTTTTATGTCTGCGCCTTTTTCTAGGACGGGTTTCATATATTTTATTTTGATCGTTTCTCAGTTATTTTGAAGTGATCTATTATCTATCCAGAGGGTCAAAAGAAATTAGTGTAATAATCTTTACACAAGGTCGTGGAATTATTAGCGCCAGTCGAGGCTAAGGGATGATAGTCCAAACAGATTTTCCACCGATAATTGACTCATCACGATATCTCTGGAATCAGGCGTAGACACTTCAAATTTGGTAGGTATATTCCATTCACTGAGTACAGGTCAGCTAAGAACGGATTTTAAGAAATTCCACAAAATAACGTTTGCCGGATCAGCTAGTATATAATAAATGGCTAATAAACGACTCAGACGATAATACTATGGTTTTTTCTCGCGGCAACGATCATTTGTCGCATTTACAGATAGGTTGCGAACATTTGTATTGTTAGTATTTGTTACTCTTGTTTTCCAATTAATGATACTATGGGGTGGTGAACTGGTGTCCTGTATTTACGGGTTTTTTCAATACACCAGCGATCCACAACTAATAAATTAATATATCCTTTGAAGTGGAACGAAAGTGTAAACAAATAATATATTATTTTAAGCTATTAGTTGTGGTGAGAAATAAATATTTTATTATTTATTATTTATTATTTCACAGTATTGTGATAACAGTATGATAACACCGTACTTAATGAATTTTCTTCCTAGCCTGTTCTTTCAATTGTAAAAGGCGGGTAATAATAAGTACTAACTAGCGTACATGTTTAAACAGTTTTTTTATATGAATATTATAAAAGAAATTTCTCGATATAAAGATCTAGTGGAAGTGACTTAGTGTTAGTTACGATCAATTATGCTACCCGTAAAAGTAACAGAATCAGATTTAAGCAATCTATCAGCATTACATTAGTCAAATACATAGTGCTGCAGTTCCGTGTAGGAAAGGTCAGACCTTTCACTCTGATGAGCCGATGCGGGAACGGGAAGTATCGAATTTATTGTTACGTCACTCAATTACCGGCTGCACTTTACTCATCACTATTGAAAAGTCCTATAGATAGATATCACTCGAAAAGACATCTATAAACGCTTTTCTGGCTTTTCTTCAATTGCAATTCTTTTATGATTTTCGTTAGTTTTATCCAATCCATTCTTACGTCGGTGAACATTTTCTACATCAATGTTTAGTTTTGATCTGAGAAATCTCCGACTTCTTAAAGTTCGATTACATCTTCCTGTACCTAATGCTATAAAGCCCGGAATTGCGAGTCAACGCGTATCGGTGGTTCATTATCACCCAATTTGAAATTGTTAGGTTCTACCTTAACAGGCTACACCCTGTTTTCACAGACAGTTGTTAAAGTTGTCAGTTCTTTGTTAGAGGAACCTCGCGATAGTTTGCGAACAAGTTAACTTGCTAATGTCCGTAGCGTGAATCGTTTTTGTATATATCCATAGGGGTTTGAATTACTCCTTCCATCCATCTTTTTTGAATTACTCTACAATAAGGAATCGATCTTTATTACACTCATTACTACATGCACCTGAAAGTATAATCTTCTGTATGGAAAGTTGCTTGAAACTTCGTTGACTTGCTAAACATTATTATATGTTGTTAGTTGTCTCACTCTTGATTCAAGGTTACAGTTTCTATAACCCATGTTAAGAATCCGTTTTTCCGGATATTGGAATTTTTATTGGAAACACATGTCGAGTGTAAAGCGACCAGCTTGCCACGTCCCGTTTATTGAGTATGAATTATTCAATAATGAATAAATTGAAAGGGGGGTATGTAACACCACAACAGAATCGAAATCAATTAGTTGGTTGAAATTAACGTTTTAGTTGTGTTTAACTGTTTACCCTCTGTGCCATCGTACGTCGTTCGCCACTATCCACTTATTAAATGTAACAAATATCCGGTTTCGCGCAACTTGCTCCTATACAGATTCTGGCTTTAAGACCTACCGAGTTAAGCTGTGCATTGTCTGTCAGTCAGAGACTTGCATTAAGTAGTTTAAGTTAGGAGCTCCCTTACTGTCAGTCCTTGTCTGAGTTGGCGTCGCTCGAGACAGGTATCCTTTTCCATCGCGCCAGAGGTCGCCGTGACATAGAAATCGCGTATTCAGTGCGCCCGCGATTGCAAATGATTAGGCTACCTTCACTTTTATTACCATGTTTGTATGTTCGTTTGTTCTGTCCTTATGTGAAGATAAGTATGAAATGTGTTCTGTATTAGATTTAACTCATGGTTCCCAGTAAACTAAAGCGTGATGTACGCAGCTTTTAAGAGGTTTTTTTTGTGAGAAGGAAAGGAAAAGGGCGAAATCGATCTGTAATATCTATATGCTGTGCAATTGTATCTGCGTTGACAACCTAAAAAGATTTGGGCGCTTACTAACTAGATGAAACGCTTATATACTTTCATACTCACGCCAGTCTCCTGGGATAGCGTGGTGCAACCAGAACAATTTTATGTTATATAAAAAAAAAAGTTCGCATCCTTCCTTGAAGTTCCGACAGATGAAGTTATAAAAAACCTTAAAATGGTCTTTTGGAAAATGCCAGTAAGGTAAATTTTGATTCCAACATGATCTCCCTCACTCCAATTACTTCAAACAATCTCGGTGAACAATCTTAATTAACAATTTAACAGTAATATGTAAATAATGCATAATTTATATGAAATCCATAAATCAGATCTAGCTGTAGAGAATCAAAGCTAGTGACTGTGACTCACTTAGTATTCCCAACGACCTTTCCTAATCCTACACAATAGGAGCTTAGCAAATCCTGAAATGTCGCTATTGAATAACGCGTCCATAAGATTCATCGCGTCTTGCCTCTTGGACTTTCTCTTTCGCACTTGCGCAATATTAATTCTTTATAAAACATTTTTCCTTGATTGACCCGAGTACCTATTCAACTGTCAATTGATTAGCTATTGAGTATCATTTGTATTTATTAACTGTACGGATGTCTTTATCTGCTAAGTATGTCATAGAATAAAGACTAATGACAAATGGTACGTATTCTTTCTGCCTTTAGCTAATTAAGCAATATTGATAAGCGAATATGATAAAAGAAATTATATTTGGAAGTCTTGCATATCTTAAATACTAAGGTATTTACGATATGCAAGAAATCATTTTATTTTATTTGATTATTAACTTCAGCATGTTAAAGGTTTAAAATTTTATAATTAAGTTTACTGATACGTGGAGTACATTTAGACTGACACTTATTAAATGTCACCCGCTGTGATAAAACTGTTGCGTATGTTATGTGATAAGTTTCGTTAAGTGATATTATTTCATTATCTTTCAATGCCTTTAATGCTTTCACCTTAGTAACCTCATTAGGATTGCTGATTACACATTCCTTCCGTAGATTATATCTTTTGTATTTATTTGTGGGAATAATATAGTAACCTAGTAAGTTGATCTTACATTAAAGTACTTTAACTACCATTATATAACTTATGCTGTGTTACTACATAAGGGGTTTCCTCTTAAAATTGTTAAAGATCATAATAACTCTTAGTAATGTGATCCAGCTATGGACGATTGGTGTCACAATATTTTGCATCATATTGCTACCCAAATCCCGATACTTCTATAAGTTTATGATATGCAAGCAGGCGGTTCACCTGATGTTAGTGAATACCACCACCCATGGTCATCTACAACACCTGAGGGTTAGCGTTGACCTTAAAAAACAGTGGACACCGGTTACCTCACCAGTGTAATACTTCTACTTCTACTACGGTCTTCTATAGTACCTGATACGTCCTCGTATAAGCCTGTCCATTCGTGCAACAGCAAGAAGCTTTTGTGTGGCTCTACCATTGGTAAAGCCCCGATATTATTTTTCAGTTTAGTCCATTAGATTTCTTACGCGATCCGAGACGTTTAGTAAAATGCGAACATTGTGGATTAAAACTACTCTTTTTTCATTCCCGTCGATTTAAAACCCATGATTGGATCGTTCTTGTGAGTCAGGTTTTGTGCATGATGTCATACCGCGGCGATGCCTCACTTTCGCTCGTAAGTAACGATTAACTCGTGCTCATTTTTGACATTTGCAATAAATACCGCACGTCCATGTTCGGCATTATTGATGGGTTGCGATAAGCATCCGATGGGTACCACAGAGCAACTTTATAGGTCCTGTTTTTATATCCATATGGTTTTATGTATCCATATAATCTTTATACAAGCTGTATGGTTTTTTGAGTATTCAAATATGTTAGTAAAGTATATTAAATTAAGAAATATGTTTTCTATACGTATGAAAGGAGATTTAAAGTGTCGAAGTCAATGTGATATTGCAATATTATATGATACTCTGTGACGGTCGGGTAAATTATGTATTTATTTATAAATAAAGTACGCGGCGGATATGTCATTAATTCTAATGAATTCACGACCGTTAGCAACTATATTTAACGCGCTTACCATAAAGGTTAGATAAGTAGAGGTGTATTTACATATTGATTGTTGTGGAATCTTATTTCAGATTTCATCTTTTTAAGCTCACATCGGTCTTTTGTGACGTTGTGGTACCTTCCCGGACGGACCCGCCCATTCCAGTAACAGCGACGATTGTTGCGTGGCCCAGCCACAGTTTAAAAGTTATATACATCTTTGATAGATTGTCCACGTACGGCGCTAATCGCTCACGATCAGACGTGGACAATACGCAAATAAAATATTGGTAAAAAAAAAAAAATTGTGCCGCTGAGTTTCTTTCGTCGTTTCTTCTCGGATCAGTGATTATTCTTTTCCGAACCGGTATTAGTATTTTGACAATCATTAAGTAATTGTAATCCTCCTATGTTGAATATATATAGATATTTTAATTTTAATTTGACACAGGACCCTGAAGCATCGTCTTTATTCTGACATAATTTCAACCGCAACGTTTTCCCTTACGCAAATCGAGTGACGATGCAGTGGATAAAGAAAAAAATATATTAACGGCACAGCATAATTACGCTGACCGGAGGCGTGGGCGAGTCGTTGGCACCGTTGCGAAGTCCTTACGTAGACACGGTTTATGCTCAGCGTGTCCTTTTTAGGGGCGATTTGAATAAACAGTTTAATATTAAGGCCCATCAGCGATATCGTTTTATGCGGTTTTATATGTCAATAAATGTATGTTATCAA